ATTTTCAATTTGCGCTTGCGTAAGAGAGAAATCGCCCAAGACTCCTTGCTCGGTCTTGTTTTGACCACGAACGTCTTCTTAATTTTGACGGACCCGCTCGGGAAAAGGTGAAAATGACGAGGGAAAAACTTTACTTTGTAGTACAAAAATACACAAAATGGAAAGCCATGATATTATAGTTCAATATTTCGCTGGTACATTGTTAACTTTTTTATACAGAAAGTCGGCAAGATGATATAACATCCAAAAATCGCACTATACTTGAGTGGGCCGATGAAGTGGGCGTGGTCACGAAATTCAGTAAGAGACTATTTGTACCCCGTGAGTTTGATATGAGGCGAGAGAAGTAGCTGAGAAGCAGTATGTTGATTGAATCAACCCTTAAAATTGCAACGTGACGAACGCAGATGAACTTGTCAGTATCCGCCGTATTTTAAAAAGTTTGTTATTTCAGTATTATCATGGGGCTAGCCAAGGCTTTACTTTATAGTACAATTTTTCTTTGTTTGCAGATCATTCTCATTCGCTTGCTTCAAAATTTGTTCATTTGGAGTCCTAAGGCAGTGGACGTTTGATATTTCATATCCTCCAAAGGGGTAAAAGTTGGCCATGAATGAAATCACGGTCTCTGAAAAACCACATTCGAGATTTATGCAAATAAGACTTAACACAATTTCACTATTTAGGGGTCTCTCGTGGGATTCGTTAAAAAATGTCAATGGTGGTGCGTTTATCGTAAGGGAGTGATCATTATTTATCAGGGGGTCGGACAATTTTCTTTTTGTTACGATGAATTTACCTGATCCTTCCCCTCACTGGCAATCAATTTTCTATAGTCCCCCCCACCCCTTTATGAACTTTTGGCGACGGCTGATGCCCCTTTCGTTCCCCCTGAAAACCATGTCACCCCTCCCACAAAAAAAATCTTCCAACCCCTTCCCCCTAGGCGACAAATAATAACAGGTCCCTGAGGGTCTATTGTAGGACTGATTCGTTGAAATCGATGGTGGTCAAAAAACGAAAGCTTTATTCCAAGGTGAGGCTTTGTTTTTCAGAGGACAAACGATAGCTTTACTACTGACTGAGTAACTTGCACGAGTGAGTGAACTACACGACGGGATTGAACGACAAGGAGTTCTACCTTGAGCAGGTCCTGAATTATCTTAACAAACTTAAGATACTTGACTCAGTTGGTAGTTTATGATAAAGTGGCTTGTAATGGAAGTAAACATCCCGGCTGTGGTAGCCAAATTGGTTTCACTCCACGATTGACTGAGTCCGCTTTGATTGCAGTGGTTGCAATTATAAATTAAAACTAGATTTATGCGTTCAATCTTATGATTGATATTCCGGTTGAGCTTACATTGGTTTTCATCGCAAACAGAATAGCTAGGAGTAAATTTATCAAAACGATAGGAAATGTCCATTTTTTTTTTTTTATTTTAGCCGCCAGAAACTGAAGAACGCATTTTAATTCTCGCGGAAGAAGGATATCAGGTTTAAAAAAAATTTTTCAGATGACAAATCTTAGAGTTCTGCGGTTCACTCTGAGATGTGAATTAAAATCATGTCCATTAACCCATTACATATAATTTTAGCGTTTAGGTGTAAAGTTTCGGATAATGCAACCACCGCGTTATATTAAAGTTGCTATAGTTACTGCGGTAAACATCGAGTCATTCTGGTTTAGCAATCACGAAGCAGTACTTCGTTGGCTTTTTATTCTGGTCAGCTACCCACCACAGGATAGAAAGGAAATTGAAATATTTCTGGTAGGACCAAGATATAGTTTGCTTAAGTGTAAATGTTATTGTTTGAAATGCAAGCTTTGGTAGCTTTATTAAGGGTGCTCATTTTCGAATTCGCGCCGCATTTGTAAATCGTTGGAGTTGCTAAACGAATCAACTTGTCTTCTATTTTTTCAAAGCAGTACAGCCATAGCTCCCCTTACCAGTCAAACGTTTCGCCGACGCGAGCTGTTACATGCGCTCAGAATTGGTGCCGTTTGTTCAGTTATTGAAAACAATTTAAACATTTAATTTTGTGCCGTCGCTTTGGGATTGATTGGACTAATAAACCATGGCATTAACTGTATATTCGGGCCCATGAACCGCATCGAACGTGAACCATTGACCTCAAAGGAAGTTAAGAATAATTTATTAAATGGGGAAAATCTAACTGACCTTCAGAAAACGTAAAATAATCGAGACAGGTCT